AATAATAATAATAATAATAATAATAATAATAATAATAATAATAATAATAATAATAATAATAATAATAATAATAATAATAATAATAATAATAATAATAATAATAATAATAATAATAATAATGATAATAATGATAATAATGATAATAATGGTAATAATGATAATAATGATAATAATGCTAATAATGATAATAATAACAAAATAATGATAACAGTAACAGTTGATAGAAATAACCCGATAATGTCGTCATTCGAATCCTGAATAAATGGGAGATGAGAGAATCGTAGTATAACTTGAATACTCTAAGTGTGACATTCACATGCATTCATATACATGTATATACTACATACATGCATGCACATACATACATGCAACACATACATACACATACATACACACATACATGCTTACATATATAATACACACATACATAACAGATAACAGAAGGGTTAGAAGAAGCTTGATGATAATTGTTTAGGAAAGCATGGATGATGAAGCAGTAATCGATCGAGGAGTTGTAGGTAGGGTTGAAATGGATGAAACTTTGTCAACAACATGTGGTATAGATAGGTAGAGCAGAAAGGAAAGAGTAGAGTAAGGTAAGGTAGAATAGGGTAGGGTAGGATAGAATGAGAGAGGGAGGGTAAAGATAGCAATAGGGTTGGGCAAAACGATCGTGAAATTTCAAAACAACATCTGATAGATGTTGTTGTTGTTGTTGTTGTTGTTGCATTCTCCATTTAATGGTTTAAAATCATTTTAAAGGATTTTACGAAATTTAAATTTTAAGTTTGAGATTTTAATATATATGGAAGTAATAAACTAACAATGAATGAAACTACCGAGAAACATTTGTAGCAATTATAAAGATATCGATTTGTATTTGAGGCTAAAAGGGATAGCAACTTCTTGGCTATCAAATTATAACTCAATGTTGTCGCACACACAAACACACACACAGACACACACAGACCCAGACACACTCAGACACACACACTTTATCTGTCCTCGGTAGAATGTCACTTTCTTGTATTTCTCACCTACCGGAACATGTCTCGTACCCTACGCATTAATTAGCTCTTAATTAATCGTAGTGGGCGAAAGAGAACAGAATGAATTGATAGAGAAGTGAGAAGATGCAAATTTTAAAATGTCGAAAAAATTTGTTCCCATTAATTTTCAGTTTTTTTCATTTGACGAATGATCTTTGATCGATAATTGATCAGTAAGCGAAGTGATAAGTGACATCTGATAAATACATAAGATAAAAAGAAAAGTTAATGAACGTGATTTTTAATGATGTGATATCATTTAAAATGTGTGTCACCAGTCCTCGGTAGTATAGTGGTGAGTATCCGCGCCTGTCACGTGCGAGACCCGGGTTCGATTCCCGGCCGGGGAGTTAATACGTTGCCGGTCTCTTCTTGATTCCGGCAACCTTTTCTCCTATTCATTCATGTTACCGTAAATGAAATAACAGAATTTCCAAAAATACACTAAATCCTTCCATATAGTTAGCTTCTGCAATTTGTCTAATTCCTTTCTGAAATTTACGAAATTTTGGGAATTATTTGAAATACTTCCATGGTTTAGCTCCTTCATTCAATAAAATGAACGACAATAAAAATGCATTAAATCCTACAAATATTGGATCTGTTTATGTAACGCTCCAAGGTTTGATACAAGGAAATGATTAGAAAGCTGTTGATAAAATTCATAAAGATGCAAAATCATTAAAAGAGGTAGATGACCGACTCAGAAAAAATCAGAGTCCTGAAAAAGCGAAGGAATAACTACCATATAATAAGATGATAGCGGGATAGATGGTAAGACTCAGAAAGAATCATAATCCTGAAATAATTTACTTATTTACACACACGTGCAAAGAAAAAAAATGCAGTCCTAAATGAACTGGTAAATTGCAACATTTAGATCCGTTTAACACAATTTCCCGGTATATAGTCACCTGCAGTAAATTATCAGTGATACAGGGCGGAAAAAAAGTGCAACATGAAGTTGAAAAATGCTGGTCTCCCCGGCCGGGAATCGAACCCGGGTCTCGCACGTGACAGGCGCGGATACTCACCACTATACTACCGAGGATCTGTCAGTAACGCTCATATGGAAACTTGAAATTATCATAAATATCAGGATTTGCTATCATATTTCCGAAAATATTAAATTACAAATGTTATTAATAAGTCCCAATTACATATTCTAAAGTTCTCATTAATACTGTAATCACACTTTATGATATATTAATGATATATTAATTTATGATTTTATGATATATTAATTAGTATTTTTTAATATTTTTTAATTAATAATTAATATTTTTTTTTACACTTTATGATATATTAATTAGAACTTTTAATTACTTTATTATTTCATTAACTGATAAACTTTTCTTAGTAATAATTAGCATTTTAATTATAATTTATTAAGTATTACTTTCTCGAGATGTAAATCATTTTGTGTGGAATCGACAAAATCTCTTCGATGATTCCCACCGCTTTTGTTTGGTCTTGAAAATTTAAAAAGTTTTTTTCAAAGGTTAGTCAACTTTGTTTGGCAATGTTGATGATATTTTTACAGTTACAAAAATAATTTTTTTCAACAAAGTTCAATTTTATTAGTTAAATGTATGCCAGTTTTGTCTTTCTTGTAAATTTAATTGTTTGGATGATATTTTTGCTCGATTTCCAAATTAATCAGCAAAATTTTAAACAGTAAAACAATGCTAAGAACAATGGTATGATCTACCATTTTTGAATGAACTGCAAAATCAAAATTAGAAGTAATTACTATTAGTAATAATAAGGATAACAATAGCAATAGTAATAATAACAATAATAACAATAATAATAATAATAA